TTAGGGGAGCAGAATTTGGGGACTGATTTTGTCAGTGATCTGTTTCTCATCTAGAATTGAATGCAGTTATCTTTCTTCTTTTTCTTTCTTTCTCTGCTTACATACTGTGATTACTGGCTAAAAATAGGCATGATTTATGGTTCACCATCCTTTGAGTCTTTACTATGGGGACCCACAAGGTTTAAGAGTGGAGTGAATTCCCTATTTTACTGAATGATAGAGGCTTTCTCTTGACCCTTCACAGGGTTTTGCCAAGAGAGCCCTCTCAAAGCCCATTTTCTACTTTCTCTTGTTGAGAAAACATTTTTAAAGGAATATATTGCATTAATTTTAATGACTACAAAAGTAGATCCGTGGCATATTCCAAACTCTGAAGGTAGAAGTATTTTCCAAAATTTTGCATTGAGTCCTTGGACTGCAGAATCTGTTGTTCATATTTCCACTAAGGCTGAGCCATGTGTCTGTGGCATTCATATGAGCAATAAAGTAACACAAAACTCTCAATAAGAGAAACACTGGCTATTTCAATGCTTAGTTTTTTCTTTTTTTAAGAATGGGAAATTATTTAGTATTAATTTTTTTAACTTCATACTTTACAGAGCAAATTGATTTTCCATTCAATGATTAATACACATTTTGTTTAATGACATTGATTGTAATCCCCACAATGTAACAGTACTCTTCCAACTTCCTCCTTGTGTAACTTTAGGTGAATAGTATGTTCTCTTTTGTTTTTCATACAGATATTCGTGTGTGCGTGCACAGCTGCCCCCCCACACACGCAGGCTAACTTTTATTTAACATAACCAAAAAAAACAAACCAAACCCATAGAGTGGATTCCAACTCATAATGACCTGGAGATGGAATCTCCAGGGAAGTAGATTGCCCAGTCTTCCTTCCAAGGAGTGGCTTGTTGTTGTTGTTGTTGTTATGTGCCGTCGAGTCGGCCCCGACTCATATATGAACTGCCAGTCTTCTGGTTAGCAGTCATATGCCTTAGGCACTTCGCCACCAGAATTCCCTTATTTAACATAACATAGCATGGTTAAATAAAGGTCAAGAACAAGATCATAGGTACACTGATATGAGAGATGTATTAAATTTATGCCTTTTTCATTTCTATACTATTGACTTTATTCTCTATGCTTAGTTTTATGTAAAGTATCAGTTTTGTGATAACCTGGCAATGAAAAGCAGACTTAAAAGAAAACCAGGAGATAAGATTAATACAATTCCAGGGCAATGAAAAAATGATGGCTGGCTCATACCCACACTATTTTTTAAGCTAAACATGCCCTATTTAATTATTTTTTATGTAGCTTTAGACAAATACAGTCTGAGCCAAATTTGAGTCACATAATTAAGGAGGGAACGTTTTGTTTTTAAACCTAAAGATCCTAGGAAGTCTGATTTCTTTAGTGTGCACTCACTGCTGTTGCGTTGGATCTGACTCATAGCAGCCCCTCCTTGGGTTTCCGAGGCAGTATCACTACGGAAGTAGATTGCCAATCTTCCTTCTGAGGAGTGGCTGGTGGGTTTGAACCACCGGCCTTCTGGTTTGCTAACCAAATGCCTTAGGCAGTACACCACCAGAGCTCCCTTCTTTGGTATACATATGAATTAGAAACTAGTGCTGCCAGGAGGAGAAGGGCATTTTACTCAATGTGACCAGAAGGCATGAGTTTTCTCCTTTACCATGACAACCTCAAAATGTTAGGATATTTACAGCTTCTCTTCAAAACGCTATTCCTAGGTCTTGCAACAATCACAAGTTATAAGTCGGTAAAATACCATCTGTCTTGGTATTTTTGTATCTCTTGTAGGACCAATGTATTACTTACCTAGCGCTGCTGTAACAGAAATACCAGAAATGTGTGGCTTTAAAGAACAGGAATTTATTTTCTTACAGTTCTAGAGACTAATAGTCTAAATTAGAATCTTGGCCTAGGCCTCTCTTCCTGGTTTTTGGAGTCTGTCAGCAGTCCTTGGCATTCCTTTGCATGTAGATGGGCCCTCCCTTGGCATCTGTTTTCCCCTTGTGTGGGTCTCTCTGTGTCTTTTCTGGTCTTTTTATAGTGCTGATGTTAATAGGTTTACAACTTACCCTATTCTGGTCAACCTCAGGAGAAAAATTTATTTCCAAACAAGATCACATCCACAGGTACAGAGACCAGGACTTCAAAACTTGTTTTGGGAGGGATGCAATTTGATTCACAAAAACAGGAAAAAATTAAAAAATGTATTAATAAGGCAGAATGTTCACTTAATTGCTTTAACTGAAATATGACTGAAAATAGATTTTAGGTGGTGATATTGTATTTTTTTTTTTTTTTTACCTCAGTGATGTTATATATATTTTTTTACCTCAGTGATGTTATATTTTCAAACTATGTTTTTAAAACCAAACCAAACCTACTGCCATTGAGTCAATTCTGACTCATAGTGACCCTATAGGACAGTCCAGAACTGCTCTATAGGATTTCTAAGGCTATAAATCTTTATGGAAGCAGACTGCCTTATCTTTCTCTTGTGGAATGGCTGATGCATTCAAACTGGCATTTGGTTAGCAGCCCATTGCTTTAACCACAGTACCACAGAGCCCTTAACTCTGTTTATAGATAAGAAGAAAATGATTGACACCAGGCGTGTACATTTGATGTGGCACCTGAAGGCTAGAGACAGATGCCCAGGGATGGTGCTTCAAGGTAGTGATAACAGGATATGGGTAAATGTCTGTGCCATTCTCATTCAACCGCACTCCCAGGAGCCAAGCAGGCCGTTATTTCAGTGATTAAAGAAAAATGCCTGGGTTGAACACAGGGCTGGAGAAGGTGGGTACAAACTGTCCCAGTGAGGCAAGAAGACTTACATGTGTGATCCTGTAGAAAACCAGTAACCCACCAGTTGCTGTCGAGTTAGTTCTGACTCATGGTGACCCCATGAGACCCCATGAGTGTAAGAAAAACTGTACTCCATAGGTTTTCAATGACTGATTTTCTCGGAAGTAGATCGCCAGTAGGCACCTCCTTTGAAGGTGTCTCTGGGTGGAGGTTGGGCAATCCTACTTCCTTAGTGATAACTGCCTCGGAAACCCAAGGAGGGGTCGCTAGGAGTTGGGGCCGACTCGATGGCAAACAACAACAACAACTGGGTGAACTGGAACCTCCAACCTTTTGGTTAGCAGCTGAGTGTGTTAACAGTTTGTATCACCCAGGGATGAAAGTGCTATTTGTATGTAGCCCCTAAATCCATCATAGGTCCCAGGTTACCATCTCATCTTAATTTTCACTTCACAAGCTGGGGGCTTTCTCTGTAGCTGTCATCTTCTGTGAAATGCTCATCTTTCCCACAGGCCAAGCAAAAAGCAGGCCCCAGAGCTTTATTAAATCCATAATGACTGCTTGGAGCTGAGCAGAGCTAGCTGGTTTGCAGGCACCTTTGCCTGGATATGGACTCTGATCTTCCCTGAACCTTAGGACTTAACACAACATTGAGGCAGATTTAGGGGTGGCTCAAATGGCAGGGTAGCCGGGATCCTCTCATGAAGGGGGCTGCCTCTCAGGCACCCACTATCCCCATAACGTGCCTGGGCTATGTCAGAGGTTTAGCTGCCAAGATATGGCGCCACATTCTGGTTGGCATTAAAGTGAAAAAGATCACTTTTTCCAGAAGAATTTTGTTGTTTTAAAGCTCAGATCCTGAGTTAGGGGCTATAAAAATCTAGCTCCGTCTCCCTCTGTTTGTAGAAGCTTGTCTGGGAGTCACAGAATCTAAGTTCATTGGGAAATGCTTTAACAGGGTACATTCACACCTCCTGCCTTCCTTCTCACTGCCAGAACAGCCTTTTTCTGGCAGGGGGTGTAAGCTCTCTGTAGAACTCTTTTGAACAAAGTCCTTCCACAAGCCTCTGGCTGACATTCTCAAAATATCAGTATTGACACCGGGGGGGGGGGTGCCCTCTTCTCTATCCACCACTTCTCCAATGGAGCTGCTGCCAAAATATCAAGATGCCTTGGCTCTGATTCTGGGTTCATTTAGTAGGGGAGCTCTGGTAACATACTGTCTAAGGCACTTGACTGCTAACCAAAAGGCTGGCAGTTCAAACCCACCAGCCACTCCTCGGAAGGAAGATGGGGCAATCTACTTCTGTAGTGATACTGCCTCGGAAACCCAAGGAGGGGTCGCTATGAGTCGGGTCCGACTCGACGGCACATAACAACAGCAACAACATGTGCAGTCCTATGAATTCCAGAAAGCCATAGTATATCGAATATCCCTTTATTTTCTTTCCCCAAATTGATTTCCCTAATTCCTGTTCCAGTTCACAGGCAAATTAATTTTCCATACAGCAGCTCACATACACTTTGTCTCATGACATTGACTACAGTTTCCCACAGTGTGACAGCTCTCCTCCCACTTCCTCCCCATAGTTACTTCTTCCCTGTGTCCTTCCCTCCCATGCAATCCTGCCCCCAACCTGTCTCCTTGTGCAGTGGGGAGGAGATCAGGAAAGACATGCAGATACCATCCAAACAGTTACCTTCAGGGAAAAAACACTGTTTCAGAGTGGCTGGACTGTCCTTGAAAGATGGTGGAAGTCACTGAACCCCTAGTTGGAAACATTGTGTATGAACACAAAATTACTGAAGATCTGAACAGAAATTTCTTGTTTTGCAAAAATCACTGCTTGGCATCCATTGAGTAGCTTCTCAATTTCTTCTCTGTACTTAGGCAAATAATCTTCCAAAAGCCATTGCGGCTGCACACACCTTTCTACTGAAGCATCCCAATGATGAGATGATGAAGAGAAACATGGCATATTACAAGAGCTTGCCTGATGCTGAGGACTACATTAAAGACTTAGAAACCAAATCATATGAGGTATGTTTGTATTTTTATACAGTGTTTCATTGCAATGTGAATCATTAAACTAATCTCTGTCAGTTAATACCAGTTGACATCTATGGACCACTGGTGCTTTTTGTGACATTTTATTAATATTATGACAATGGAATGATTGACTTTGAATCCAAAATTTATCCACTTGAGAATGAGTGTTTATATTCCTTTAAATGCTACATTTTTAAAATATGGTCATTTGATCACTGAGTTTTTTTTTGTTTTTTTTTTATTTTCTCTTTTTTTTTTTTTTTTATTAGGATTTGGGTGAAGATTTACAGAGTAAATTC